TTTGCTGAGTATGTTTCTGCCAGTTTTCTGATAACATGTCTCAAGAATGAATCGCTTGGTTTTGATATTGCAGTTCTTAAAAAAAAACTCTAAAAAAATGACTGTGGTAACAAAAACCACAAGTGTCACTGGTTTAGCAAAATATTTATTTGCTCAAACATTCAACAAGCTGCATTTTTTAACCTTACCTAGCCTAATCTTAGTAGCTACAGTAGAAACCTCAACCCGTGTTGTAATATTCCAAAGCCGAGGGCTAGCAAAGCAAGCTGCGTTACGTGGTGCCAACCAGCCCAACTGCACAACCTTATAAACCTCCTACACAGCTGCCGTTTCACCAGCTGACTGAAAAAAAACCTCACCTTCTTCATTGAAAACACTGGTTTTATCAACTATCACTTCTTTCGTCTCTCATTGAGCCCTCCCTTGGCCCCTCTTTGCTGAATTGTTTTGGACCAACAGTATAGAAACTGTGTCACATGTAAAAACCTCTAAAAATTTCCTTTTTATTGTGTATAACATTCCTGCTGTGCTTACCAACAGCTCTCTGTCCTCTGGATGTGTCCCAGATTTTTTTTTTAAGATGAGTTTTGTAAAGGTTGTTCACCTACTGCTGAAGGAACCTAGTTTATGTCCCGCAGACTTCCAGCCAGTTTCATATAAAACATCCTAAAAAAGATGATAACAATAGACCTCACGCTGCAGGCGCTTAACAACATGATGGATGCTGAGTCAGATACATGTTCAGCGTTAGTGACGCTTGACCTCAGGGAAGCATTTGATATAATCAACCACTTTATCCATATTAACAGACTAAAAACACTGGGCAGGTATTACTGGAACTTCTCTTGACCCTTTTTTCCATTTATGTAACTGACATAATTCTGGTGTTTCTGTTGATGAATTTACCTCACAATGAGAAAAAACATGGGTTAGGATGGGGTAGGATCTCTAACATGTTTCCCTTAGGACTTATTCTTTATGAGTCCCTCAGGAGCTATAGATTAAATGTCCCACTGAAGGATTTGATCACAACTAACACAAAGTCAGCTACACAATCTAGGTGATATCTGTGATTATATAAATTTAACTTGGAATATTGCACTGAAAAATACCCTGTTTTTTGAACTGTTTTTGAAAACTGTGTGTAGTTATTGTCAGTTTTGTTGTGGACCCATACATATAAATACATTTATATATTGTTGTCCATTTTGCAGGTGAACATCTCCGGGTATGTCCTCAGGGAAACACATGTTGTACCCAGGAAATGGAGGACAAATTTGGCCAGCAGAGTAAACAGGACTTTGAGAACCTGGTTGACGAAATGAGTCACGAATTGAGAAGCACCTTTGTTTCCAGGCATAAAAGATTTGATGGTAAGTCTATTTTTCATGTTGTTTCTTTTCTTTTTTTTAAAATTGTTTTGATGGTCAGTCACTGCAAGACAAATTGCCGCGGAAAGGAGAATGAAGGATTGAGTCTGTATGTGCTAATATGAAAAGGTTCACTGACGTTCTTTAGCTGTCCTCCCCTAAGAGGAGACGAGATGTAAAAATCTCATTAATATGCCTTGGAGTGGAGAACTCTCTTGTTGGATTAGACAAACATGGCTTCTTGCACAACAGATTGACAGCTTGAATAGCAGCACGGAGCCCGAGTCTGCATTATTAAGGTTGTTTGGTGGTCTTGTGCTGTATGTGATCTTGTCTTAACCCCATTGTGACTATCTTGACCGTAACACATCCACTGAGGGAATGTGCTCATTACCGAAGCCAGCCTCGCTCTACCTCTCCACCTGTCCCTCTTGGTGCCCTTCTCCACGGAGTCCGATCCTTCTAGTTACAGTTTAATGAGAAATAATAATCCTCCCAGTTCCTAACATGAGGCTGTGTGTTGGTGGTTGGCTTATTACTTGTCACTGCGGACTATGGTGAAGGGTGGTAGAGGTTAAAATTGTCAAGAGTACAGGGAACCACCTGTAGGCACCGGCATTTATTTTTATTCTTTATTAGAAAATGAGCATAATATCTTCTTGTCATGTAGGGACTACTGTATCTGAATTCTCTTTGTTTTCAAGGCAATGATGGGACAAAATTTAACAACTCTCAGGGGAAATATACCCTTTAACAGTCCCTTTATATTAAAAAAATCAGATTTTATATGTAGGTACACACAATAAAAGTAGCATATATATACTAAATGTACTACTATTTTTATTTTTACTACTGTGTTTTAACAATTGAGAAGAATTATCAGAGCCCTCTGTCATAACCAAACTTTGGCTGAAATAATGGATAATTCATCTGCGCTATTTATTTCTAATAGCTCTCTCCAGAATAGCAGCAAAAGAGCGCTTTGCAGGAGGTAGAAAATGTGGTGTGTAGATGAATTTCATAAAATGTAGGAAAAGCCAAAGGAAACAAGAGGATTAAAAGTTTAAAAAGACACTTTTACAAACTTTATTGTTGTAAAGCAACAGACTCTGTGAAAATGGACTGGTCTGTGGGGTCATGAAATTTGAATAATCTCTGAATTCAAAATTGCCGTTGAGTTGTAATTTTACTACCAGACTGAAATGACTGAACTGACGGTACTGTCACGACCCAGCTCGTGGGCTGCAACATGAAGGGAGAGTCTGAGACCGAGTTTGCAGAAATAATAGTTTTGTTTTTATTAAATAAATTCCCCAAGTATCTATAAGACAAAGTGAAAAAATGTAAGCTATCCAGGACACGGTGAGATCGAGCACATTGCATATACGAGGTGTGTCAGAAAAGTTCCAGGACTGGTGTCACAAAAGTTATATTTCAAATCCAAGCTACAAATTTTCCCCTTCGAAGTAATTCCCCTGGAGTCTAACACACTTCCCCAGCCTTCTCTTCACGCCGCCATGCACTCCTGGAAGGATTCTTCGGGGATCCTCTGCAGCTTCATCGTCACAGCCATCTTGATGTCGTCCACGTCTTCTAAACGGGTCCCCTTGATGACCCCCTTGAGCTTGGGGAAGAGGGAAACAATCCCACGGAGCCAGGTGGGGTGAGTGGGGAGGTTGCTCCAGCACGGCGATGTTCTTCTCAGCCAGGAACTGTGGGATGCTCAGGGTGTTGTGAGCAGACGCGTTGTCATGGTGAAGCAGCCACGACTTGTCCTGCCACAACTCTTACCTCTTCTCGCACTGAACGAAGCAAACAGGATCTCTTTGTAGACGTGCTGGTTGATCGTCTGAAGGGGAAAACTCGTAGTTTGCAGTTTGGGTTTGAAATATGTACATTTTTTGTGACACCAGTCCTGGAACTTTTCTGACACACCTCGTAACACCCAAAAACCCAATGCCACTGCAAAAAGGGGTGCTAGGGGGTTGTAACAGCTCCCCCCCTTCAAAAAGGAGTTCTTCTAGGAGCCCTAAAACATGAAGACAAAGCCCCTCTGCATCTTGTTCTGTTTCCATTCTTCTGATCAAGAACAACTAGGCGCTTAAGAGAAACGAGTACTGAGTTCAGCAGCCACAGATCAAAGAGGATCCTAACGAAGCAACAGGTAGCGACAGCCATGACAACATGACACCGTCTCTTGAAAATCCACCAGCTTCACTTCTGTGCAAGAGCCCAACACAGATAATAGCAGAAACACAGTGATGCGGATCAATTAATTGCTGCAGTCACAGCTTGCTTGCATATTCACAGCTGTACTCTACAAGCGTGCAGCGGACAAAAACCACACAGCAAAACTAATTGCTCTCTAAGAGGACTTGCCCAAACATACTTGAAGTCTGTTGGAGCTAACTTTGGGTGAGCGGCAGGGGACACCTTGGACAGGAACAACGCCAACAGGCAGACAATGCGGGACAAATTCAAGTAAAGATCCATGTAAATAGACTGCACAAGCTTTCATTTTGTTATTTTATATCGTCGTGGTACAGCAGTTTTTCTTTGAATCAAGGTTTATTATCGAGTACAATTCAATATCTTCTATTGCTGTTTTCTCAGACTTCAGGTTCTGCCTGTTACATAATGCACACATAAGTGGCTTTACCTAATCTTCCATCGCCTTGTTACGTGTCCTTTACAGGATGCCACCTTCACCATTAAGTGCCTGTTACATAATCTTTTAATATCCTCTAAGTAAAACAAAAAATCGCACAAGATACACGACTTGAATTTATCTTCTGTTTAGATTTGGCGTAATGTAATTTTAATCTTCAAAAGTTGGAGGTCAAAGCATAGATTTTCATATTAGGCTATCTAAATATATCCAAAGTCAACAACAATGGTTGCGTGATTAATAGCGCAATTTAATACGCAGCAGTCAATGCCTTGTCTCTCCCTCCTCATTCCTTTCAAACTATTCAACATATTATATGAAACAAATGCTATTGGGTTACCGCATGCAACCCTCAGATGATTGCACATTGCCCAGAAACTCAATGTCACTATGCCTGGGTGATGTCTGTCTGTTCTTTTTTTTTTTTTTTTTTTCCAGGAATATACACTTTCTTCAGCCCACATGTGATTCCTGGAAGCATGCATAAATAAATAAGTGTTATTTTGATCATCCCCTGTCAAGACAGTGAATATCATGAGGGAGGCTTCAGTAGTAAGGAAGGAAATGGGGTTTGTCCAGCAGCACTTAGATGCACGACTCCAGGCACCCCAGCTTTCTCTTGGGATTTGCTGCCACTCTCCATAATTTCATTGAAGTCAAAGCAGATGCAATATGCAGGTTTTATGCAGGAGACTGTGTGTCTGCTGAGGGTCTCTCCACAAGATTAAAATTTCACCTTGCTTTTTTTTAATTTAATGATTATTTATAATGTAATTAGTGTTAAAAATGTGCGGCTGCCAGTTTTCAGCAGATATATCACAGGTATTATTTGTGTTTCATTAGGATTCTGCTCCCTTTTAATATCACAAACCAACGTTACCAAAATAATAGTGGGATACCAAACCGGAGCACATAGTTAAAGATCTCAACAGTCGAGTTTTGAGTTCACTTAGATGCACTTTACCATCTATTTAGCACCTGGCTCTGGAGTACCACCTACACAGAGTCAGTGTATGCGTATATTTTCTTCTCTTTATGCAGACTGTGATGAGTGTTACTGTAGCTGATAGTAGCTGGGCAGCCCACGCATTCCTGACACCGCAGCCTATGTGTCACAGCGAGAGGGCACAGTCTCGACTCTGCCAAGACACATCCACGCAGAAATATCCACAACAACTCAGGGGCACAGCGCTGTTGTATGAATCTAAGAGAGAAGCGGCGGCGATGCTGCCTCGCCGACTGCAATTAAGTTAAACATCTGCTTGTTTATTTAAGTTATTCACCTTAATGCAAATCCTTAAAACCACAGGAGCAACTGGTGAGAGAAACTATACGAAATAATGCCCGGCACCGAGAATTCTTTTCTTCCTCGCTCATTAAAGACCAAGTCAGGGTTTGTAATTGTTAATCAATTGTTGGGCCTTCTGACCGCAAACACCACGGGTGCTGGGTGGTGTAGCAGAATATTAATGTGGTCCACCCTCCGTGATTGATTTTTTATAGAGTTACCCCCACACACTGTTATTTCTGGCACCCATTGGTGTCGGTTGTATCGTTGTTTTTCTTTTTCCATGCAAAATTATGAGAAGCCAATTCTCCTCCGTCCGCCGTTCTCGAGGTGCCCTTGAGCAAAACGTTTAACCTGAAATTACTTCTCAAAAGCTGCCAACCATAGAAGACAGTAGCGCGCTGGCTAGCTACCAAGTGTGTGTGACTAGATGAATGTGAAGCTGGGCAGCGCTGAAAAACGCATGCTTGTTCAGCAGAATCCTTCGTTAGTTAAGAAGTCCTATTGGACCATCCATTCAGAGAGCGGCGTGGTGTTTAGAATTCAGGGAGAAATGCCACAGCATCACTGCAGGCTGGAATTGTCCGAGAGTGCAGAGCTGCTCAAATTTCAGACAGAAACGCTTCGATGTCTTGGAAATATAAAACTTCTTTCAAATTCTACTTTTTGTTCATTTATTTTTACAGGGCGACGGTTAAAATGTATAAACCCGCCTGCTAACAAGTCCTATCAGAACTGGATACGGCGACTTTCAAATGTAAGAAATCCTTATTTGTAGGTTACATTTGTCTCGACTCACCAGTGCACCGTTTACTCTTTTAAATTTACCAGCTGTGAGTTTAAATTGAAATGCCTGCGCTCTTAACTGCCACTGTGTGACTCACAATAGGCCGGCAACAGGAATTAACACAAGGAAATGGAGACATAAAAGGTCAACCTGTCATGTTCTCCGCAGCTGCACAGAACTCGGAGCAGCTCTGTGCAGACGGCCACTTCCTGACAGACCAATCAATGACCCGGCTTATGATTGACAAGTGGAATTTGAAGTGCAGCAAAAGGGAAAAAAAGAAAAAATTGCCAGTTTCACGTACGGGCATGAGAGCTGGAGGAGGCTGAATAGCGAGCGGCGTGCTTTATATTATGCCATTTCGATGATTACAAAGCCAGAGACGTGCTCCTTCTCTGACTGGCTATAGTCCTGTAGGAGAAGACATCGAGTGCTCCGCTGGAGATAAGAGCTGTTTACTGCATGAGGGCCGACAAATTGTGTAATTTTTTGCGGTTTACTCGGGGTAGCCCTGATGATAAATTACAAGTAGTTCTGACAGCATTTTGCTTGCAGGACTGCACATAAGAGACATCTGACAAATGATCAGAAAAAAAAAAAAAAACACTTCTTGTGCTGAATTTATGTGGCTCATTTGGTGCCATTTTATTGGTTGTGTGGCCTTGAAATCAAGTGCCTCCTCTGTATTGCTTAGGCCCTTGTGGAATTTTTGATTTGCGAGAATGAATGCAATATAAAATCATTAGCAGTCCCATATAATATTAAAATGGTCTTCATTTTTTCCACAAGAAGCATCGTGCATGGATGAGATTTTCCAACTGGCATTTTCTGCATAACATAATCAAATTAGGTCAAAATTTACATTCCCAATTTAAACAAAATACACCCTACATTTACTGTGTATTATCTGGCAAATGTGCATTTGTCTACAAGGTTTTATTTTCTTCAGAGCTGTCCTCTGAGCCGGAGCTGCGTCTCCAACGTCCACACGCAACTTTGCAATTTTGTTTTATTATTATCTCTCTTTAACGCAGAATGAATACAAACTACATCTCTTTTTTTTTTATCAAGTAAAACACTGCATATTTACTGAAATGATCACATAAATTGCTATTGGGACAAATTAGTTACACTGAAGATCCAGCTTCAGCCCTAATTAGATGAAACCATTTTATGGATTCTTACATTTTGCGCTCTTCTCAGAGGCCTTGTTTGTGCCACCGCTTCTGGATTTTCTCTAAGCTAGTATTAAGGTGATAAGGTATTGATTGCAGACTGATTGCTTTTTATTGCTATGTTTGTGCATAAAAAAACTTGTATTTTCACTTCCACAGACTTTGAATGTGGTTCAGTAATATGTGGTCTATTAAACCACAGTTTCCTGACCTCACAGTTTCTTTTTTTTTTCCCCTCATACATTGTATTTACTCAAATGAAGACGGCTGACTGGTGGTGGAAAACCAACTCTTTTATCCCACTTAGCTGGCTGGTCACAGTTCAGGAGACTTTGTAGTAATTAATTCTGCAGGCCACTTCCCATGAGAGTCCCCACAGTAGATGTCATCCCAACCACAGCTACCTCCGTTGTATGCTGAGACAAACCCAAGCTGACTCTATTGTCTTCAAAAGACGCAGCCTATTTGTGCATAAAACTGCTTTTCCCTCTAATTTAGCTCAAATGTCCAAAAAACTAGGAATGCTGCTGAAATAGACAACTGCCATCTGCGATTTCCAGTAGACCGTCCATCAGTAGGTTTCTGCAGAAGCACAGAAGCAGAAGCTTTCTTTTTTGTCGGGGAGAGAATGACTCGGTGTGACCTCGGCACAGCTCTGTTCACAACACCGAGGAGTCAGAGCCAGACTGAGCTTCATCAGCGGAATGTAGTGAACTCTGCAACTTGGGAGTGCTTGAATCATTACTGCCCAGCATTTCAGCATCATTATCCTCTGTTTGCAGCTCATGCAACCATTAATTTGGACAGATTTCTTAATTACCAATATGTGTTTAGGATTTATGTAAGCTTTTTTTTTTTTCTCCCAAAAAAAAAAAATTTCTGACAGTTCACTAAATCTTTCACAGTCGAATATGATCCCTCTCATGAATTTTCACTAATTAGATGATGATGTCTTATTTAACTTAATATTTCACTCGCTGAGTTATACAGATGCCATCCATCGTGTAATTATTCATTGTAATCGCTCCGAAACAGAGCTCAAATTTCTGTCAGATATACTGCCCATATTGACATTAAACTGCTTTAATTACATTGGTTATGTTCAATTAATATCTCAGTAGGACATGTCTGCATTGCGATTTCTTTTTTTTTGAACCTTTTAGCTTAATATCTGTTTTGAAGCTGTCATTAATCAGTCTGGATGTTGCTCCTGATATTCTCCTTACCCAAAACACTGAAACCAATCATGATTTAGATTAAAATAGTCTCAAGAACACTGTAAATACGTTGTGGATGCATTAATAAAAGGTGCAGTTTAATAACACATGTAGCAGAAAAAGAGCGAGTCGTATCCTCTTGTGAAATGCTAAAAAGTTTGTGTGAAGGTAAGCTAATTTTATCAGATCCCCAGAGGAGGTATTACACTGAGATGGTGCCTGATAAGATGTGCTAATGAACAATAATTAACTGTGATAAGAATAGAGAAAGCAAGCCTTTCATAAGCATGTGGCATGTGATAAATCAGAGGCAGGTTTTTTGACTGAGCAGATTCATGCAGGATTAGAACCTTTACCCTTCAAGCTAATATCAAGTGAGTTATAATAGCTGCTGGTTGTAGCTAAAAATACATTTGTCTCACTCATGTAATCGCATTATAAAATAGCGCTTTGTGCGTCCTACAACCTTGAAAATGAGGCATGTTTTTTCACATTTTTTTTTTTTTTTTGCTTTCTGTTAGTGGGCGACGTGGCCCGCTCTCGATACAACTAATCAGATGTGACTTGGTGTGGTATCACCGAGAGTCGTGCCATTTTTGTTTCTCCGCTGCTATAAGCTGTAATTTTACCTGCATTGCTGGGAATTAATGACCACTTGAAATCCATTACACTTTTTTTTTGTCTGGGACACTGTGATAAGTGCCTGCAAATGTGCAAGGCTCAGAGGGGCCAGATGTGGCCTCGCTCCCCGTGAACTGCTTTGAGAACATCTCACTTTGAAATATACACAGACGGATCCTGTTGTAAATGTAGTAGTCTGATCGTCAGCAGCAACTCAGATAGAACTAGTCGTCCATGGTGCCTGTACATGCTGCTACAGGGAGCTGTTTTTTTTTTTTACATTATCCCCATATTTTTCTGCTGGCTTTGTCCACTCACCTTTTTCCCACCGACCTCTCCTGCCTTGAAGCTAAAACAGAGCAGTAATCAGTATTTCCCACTAACCCACAATGACAAATGTGCGATGTGAAATGTAACTAATCCACAAAGAGAATTATCACCCAATTTAGTAGGTCAGGCTGCACATTCTCTGCTATCAGTAGAGCTGTTCCAAATGCAGCAGGTAGCTGCTGTAAATGACAAATCTGTGATGAACCCACTGTACGCTACCCACCAGACATGGTTAGCAGTTAGCTAACCCGATTTGTCCATCAGGAGTTGACGGAGACCGAAATAGAACCGACGGGAGAGAGAGCGAATATGTGCAGAATGCTGTCCTGAAATGACTCCAAAGAAATGCATATGTGGCTGTTGTATGTGTAACGCTGTTTTTATGAGGTGGTAATGCGTTAAAAGGTACCAAGGACAACAAAGCAACAGAAACACCCTTCGCCACTACTTAATTAATTGATTAATTATGCATCCCTAAAGCTTTGGATTAGACATTTAACGCAGGAATATAAAAGACTTTTGCAGGACTCCGCTCCCCTTCTTAAGTCAAATGTCTCCTCTGGCTCGTCTTTTCAGTTAAATGCATGAGTTTTGAAGCCTGTTTAAATTTTAATCTTGGCCCCTGAACGCCGGCCCTATCACTATGGATAGCAGATGGTCAGAAATATTATCAATTCATCCCAATTTCTGGTGAGTCGTAGAGGTCATGAGCCGAACAACAAGTGGCGCCTGAGAAAAAAAAGGGGGAATGGAGAAGGTCTGCAGACCCTATAGACAAACTGTATTGTGCTTCTCACACTAAAGGATAATTTATTACACTTCATCTGGCAGCCTTATGCTTCCAGCATATGGAGAAATACTCAAATGTGCAAATGTGTACACAGGAAATCATTCAGCAGTATATATATCCGTCCTATCAAGGTACAGGAAGGTACATATGAGATATGGACAATACAGACCTCTTGCACTGCAAACACAGAGCTTATTGCTTTCCAGAAATATATGAGGAAGGCTCCCATTGCCATGTCAAAAGTAGTTTACAGGAAATAAAAATCAACAAAGCTGTGAAGCCTCTTCAAAATGAAATCAACATCACATGCCCTAATTTAATTCCTATTTTGGTATTATTTGGTTTCTCGCCGTGTTTGCTGTCTGCATTGCAATCAAGCAGATATCCTTTTAAAGCAGCGTTCCATCCCGCAATCAGACACATTTAATGTCAATTTCTATTTTAATCATAAACGCAGGGAAGGTTCCGAGTGCATCTCATCAAAAGCGTAACTATGTGTGCCACGTACGGAACAATATCTGTCAACACAGCCGCGCGTGAAAGAAATCCGGACAATGAGTTTCTTTTTTTTCTTTTTTTCTTCCAGAATTCTTCCTGGAGCTGCTGGAGAACACCGAGAGGTCCCTGAATGAGATGTTTGTGAGGACTTACGGCAAGCCGTACATGCAGAACTCAGAGGTGTTTGAGAACCTGTTTGCTGAGCTGAAGCGCTATTACACGGGAGGGAATGTTAACCTGGAGGAGATGCTTAATGACTTTTGGTCGCGGCTGCTGGAGCGTATGTTCACGCTGCTCAACTCCCAGTATGTCATCACCGAGGACTATCTGGAGTGTATCAGTAAGTACACCGACCAGCTCAAGCCCTTTGGAGACGTGCCCAGGAAGCTCAAGGCTCAGGTTACCCGTGCATTCATCGCAGCACGCACATTTGTCCAAGGGCTCTCTGTCGGCCGGGAGGTGGCCCAGAGAGTGTCGAAGGTAAAAACTTCTCACCGCTTTGGTAAAGTTAAGATTGTTTCTGTCATCAACGCTGTGTTTAATTTGATTTCACTTCTGAAGCCAAATGACCTCAAATTGACAAATGTTAATAACCTGAAGGTCTTGTTTGTTTTGTGTTTCTGCAGTAAACACACATTTCCCCCCAGTTTTAGATATTTTTATCCAAATCAAGCTTCTCCCCTCTCTGGGTTCTCACTGTGCATATCTTCAGGAAACTTGGGCCTTAAGGCGACTTGTTCAGGCGCTGTCTAGAAAGCAGGCGTTGAAGGCTGAAGGTGGATTGCTCAAGAGAAATGAGAGAAAAGAAATTTCTGCCATCGCTGTTTATTGCTCTCTTGCCTAATATTTGTTCACCCAGTGTACAGAAGCCATTAATCATTCTCCTGCCTTGGTATTCTGTTTGATGCAATGTAATCTTAATGCAGCTTCCGCGGTATATCACGCTGCCCTGGGAGAGTGTGTAGTTTTGATCATGTACAAAGTAAGATTAAAGCCAAAGCAAAAGGCTAAGGCTCGGATTTAGTCGCACTCAACAACAACAAGGTTGTTTCTACACGCCGTCTTATGAGCTGAGAGAAGCACTGATTCAGTTCGGCTGCAAAAAATCCCTGATTTATTTTTTTCCCCCCCTTCCAATACTGTATTGATATCAGTGAGATTAAATTATCAAGACTATAATAAATATTTATAGGGCCTCTACACAATATATAACTAGGAGCTAATGAAAACAAAGCAACCCTCAATAATGAGAGAGAAAAAAGGAGAAGACGCCGCTGTTCTCTGAGAAATCCAACATTTATTTTCACCACCACGGTGCACCCGTTGAACTTGTTCCCTTCACCTCCCTGAAGGTCCCCCTCCCGCCCCCCACCGCCCCCAACACGACAGCAGCCGCTCATTTAGAAGCAGCCACAGAGGATGTGTTGTTAGTATGCGTTTTACTGAGTTACAACCCCCGCGTTTCTTACAAGCCAGCATGTCCCAGCTTCACCTCTTGACATTTCAGTGGGACCCGAGATCCAGGTCATGTGTCTGGGACCGCAGCCCCTTTGATCCCCAACGGTATAAACTCATCATGAGAGATTGGGTGTAAGCATAATGAAAACAGACACCCCGGCTAGAAGTGTCAGTTTCACAGCGCCTCGGAAGATGTGACACCCATGCTTATTGCTGCCGGGGTATACAGTATATTGAGTTTAAGTAGGTGATGTAGTACTTTTATTTCTTTTTACAGCTTCGGAGACAAAACACAAAACCCAGCACAGGTTTTTTTTTTTTTTTTGAGGAGGCGCAAATGTGTCTGGATTCTCACAAGCACGACTCAAAACCTCTGCCAGGTTCTTACCTAAACAGCACATCTGCGTCTGTTTATTTCTAGCGAATAAAATCTTATAATCGTCCAGGCACTTATTATTTTTTTTATTGAAATTCTCAAATGGGCGACTAAAAAAAGAAAAGAACACTTTGTCTGTTATCTGAAAGCCTGTAGTAAGCAGTAAACAATACGGCAACGATGTGCTCTGTTTGCTCTGGAAGCCACGGTGACGGTTAATGGGCTGCATCCGTTTTGTTTAAATGAAAAGTTTGTAATATTTCACAGCAGGATGTTGCTGAATTTAATCCAATCGGCCTCATAATTGCGTATACAATCAGGATGGAACTGCAGGCGCGCTATAAAGTCACAGGACAGGTGCATGGATCAAGAAACCAAGACTTCCTGCCTGCTGTTGAACGCTTGAACTCGCTTTATTAACAGCGATGCTTAAGTCCCCCCCTCCCCCCTCAAGGCAATATTCAGGTTTGCCTGTATGATTTGTTTTATTCATTCTTAGAGAAGGACAGAAAGAACTAAAAATGTGTTAATTGGATTTGTGCATTCATTTTTCTTTTACTAGAGCTTCTTTTTTTTTTTTTCTTTTTTCTATTTGGAAGATTTTCATCAACTGAGGGAAGATGAGCGACCGTATTTGTGTAAAGTTATGGAGTGTGAAGTAGAAAAGGATTATTTTAAACTCATAAATCATTAATGTCGTCTAAAAATTCAAAAACAACTGTATTAATAATAAGTGATGGATCATGATGGAGGAAAAAGGATGATTTTCCTTAATCTGTTACCACTAATAGTGCAGATATTAAAGCAGCAGTAGCAGCGATTATTTCTCCTCGTGACCTCCAAATCTACTGGAAACTGTTCTGCCACCTCACCTGCGTCAGGTGAGACAGACGCCTGCAGGAGTATTTTTTTACAATATTCACTATCGGGTTTTGCGTGCGACGCCAGCCGTCTGCCAGTTAATGTGTGAAGGTTGTCTGTTGGTCGGGGCAGGTGTATTTGAGCCGTTCCTTGGCGTGCGACTCTGTGGGAGCTACGAAAATACATCCGCTTTATGATTCTCACCACTGGGCTGAGAAGGAAGCAGGGGTCGACGCACATCAAACATTAACACACCCCATCGAGATCCGGTCGTTTCTCTAATTTGCAGGCCGGGAGAAGGTCAGCCATAGTTTTATCTCCTCCAGGCTTCGCTACTTATACCCGGCCAAATATTCACAGTTAAACGCTGCTGCCAAACCTCGATCACAGTCCAAGAGAATCGACTACAATTAACCCGCTTTCTCTGCTCTGCACTTACCTGTCTGTTTGGATGGATTTTATTTTATTTTTTTTGTTTTTAAAACCTTGCTTGTCAGCCTCTTGCTTACACCTTTGATCTGCTAATTCTCCACAAGCTTGATTGCCACTTAAGATATATTTTTTTAGGGCGCTTTTTAGCCTCTTCTTGTCACAGAAAGGTGGTTTAATGCTGTTTTTTTGTCGCTCAGGTGTGTTTCTTTCCACATAAAGCACGGCATAAGATGATTTCTCCTCTTCTTTACGGTACAAGGTGCCACCCTGTACCACACAGGAGCTACATTTTTGTCAAAACTTGTTTGTGCATCTTTCAGAGAACAGGAGACTCCTGTTTTTATGCTTTTTAATGAATTCAGACGGTAAGTGCTGGCGTTGCGCGTCACGGTGAAGTCGGTAAAAGCGGGGTTTCAGACTGAAAGATGCTTAATAAGACACTTGTTGGTGCTTCATGGAAGAGAGAAAGTATTAGGCTGCTGCCGAGGAGCTTTCATTTCACGTGTCTCACCAGGACTCCGGAGTGGAAGCATTTGCATGTTGAGAGTTTGAACGCTGAGTGCCGTACGCTCTTCAGAAAGCATGTCATCAAATCAGTTCAGTGGCTCACACAAGTCAAGTTTGTATTTGCTCTCTCAGATGTCACTACACAAGGTTACATGTGGCAGAACACTGATAAGATTTAGCCCTTTGGTACATACAAAGTCCACTATTGTGGAGCCGCTGATGGTCAGTTGGTTTCTGTATTTTTATTTATTTATTTCGTCTGTGGGTATTTATTCACCTTCACTAGATAGTTGTACAAATTCCTGCTTTTCTCCAAAGTGGCCACTCAGGTTTTATTCACAATAAACAGACTAAAATTATCAATTTGTCTCGAGGGGTTTTACAATTTACACAGCCTTTTCTATCCTTAGACAATCCACTGGAACATTGTTGTTGTTTTTTTTTTGTTTTTTTTTCAAGTGCAGCTCAAGTGAATTAGGTACGAGCTTGAATCCGCTGTGTGGAATTAGCACCGTTCATTTGATGTACCACAATGCCCAATTAGGCTGTGAATTCTTCTAATTTGTCTTCTCCCTTAAAAAAAAATTATTAAAAAAAAAAGTACGTCTAAATCCAAACATTTTCTTTATGTTAATCAGTCTGTCTCGGAAAACATTTGAAAAGCATCATGCTCGGGGAGTTGTAACACTTGGAGCTGGCGTTTGGTTTTAACAAAGCAACACACTCAGAAACAAATTCAAACACTCAATTAAAGCCACAATTGGCTGTTAAACTGACTCATTATGTTGTTCTTTTCCACCCACTTCAAAGGCATTATAAATTTAATTGTGCCTAATAAATTAACTTTCACCCACTAAAATAATCCTGCGCTTCTGACCAAAACCATTTGGACTGTATGAGCTGAGATGCTGTAATTAGGTGCAGCTCTAGGAAATCCGTCTTACCACACGTCATGTATCCAGGAATCTATAGTTTTGTTTAAGCATCTCGAGAGCAATTTAACAGTAACTTTATCACCTCGATCTATGCTTAAATTATTAACAGAATCTTGTTTAAGAGGTGCTTTGAAAATCTTTGACTGACTTTTATGGCAGAAAACTAAACACAGGCTCATTTTAAGAGTTATAAGATCTCGATCAATTTCAGGCCAGAAGCTAGTAGGAAGCAGAGGTGTTTCCTATAGCCCACTTTATTACCTAATTTATTATCTATACATCCAGTCACTGCAACACAATAATGTATTTCAGCATTGTTGTGCTGTTTAAGGCCCGTTTCCTGCACTTCTAAGCCTATACTGCTTATGCCTGCTTTCCTGCGAGCCAATAAGTAAAGTTAGGGTGAAGTTCTTGTTAACATGATTTATCTGATTTCTTCGCAGTGGTATGATTATCTGTGAGTCAAAGATATTTATGCGTCTCCTTCCTGAAGCTGTCTTATTAGTTGGGGCTTTTTATTTGTAGCTCAATGCAACCATAACCTCTCGGCAGCTGACGGTGAGTGCGTACATTTAAAGTCCTTGGTCGGCATGTGTTGACTCTTGTGTTGAATTTTTCTGAATCTTTAGCTGTGCTTTTTTTTTTTTTTTTTGTACAATATCGTTCAAATAAAACTTTGCAAAAGTTCTCAAGCAGCACTAGACAAACACTTTCCTTCTGAATAACTCACAATAAAACTAGAAGGGCACCGTGAGAGCACAGCTCCAGTGCTCCATCTTGCAGCTTCAAGGGAAGGGATCTCGATTCACATCAAAATTTAGAGGGCTCTTCCTGTGCCCACGCTCCACCTCTCCAATAACTTTGAAGACATTCAGTCTCGTAGTTTTTTTGGGGGGGTAATCTTGCAGACAAATGAGCAAACAGACAAATTATGGTGCTAACAACATACCTTTGTTTTGGCTCTTGCTTTGGCAGAGGAACGAATTCTCAGCTGTGTTAAATTAACGTGATAAACATCTAAATCTTCCATGAATTAATGACAGAATGCGGTTAAAATGATTGTAGATTTCACGGTTGCTGTCCAGATACTAATAACTGCTGTCACACTGTGTCCTTGCAGGTGAGCAGCACTCCAGCATGCATTCGGGCGCTGACGAAGATGCTGTACTGCCCCTTTTGTCAGGGCATGCCTGCAGTAAAACCCTGCAAGAATTACTGCCTGAATGTCATGAAGGGCTGCCTGGCCAATCAAGCCGATTTGGATCCGGAGTGGAACCAATACATCGGTAAGTCTCCTCCAGCTTTCCTCCAGGGTTTTACCCAGGTTCTGCTGTTCTGTTATTTCCCCATCACACCAATTAGATGTGTCGCTCTATATTTGTGTTCGAGTGTCTGGTTTTGGTATAAAATAGCTGATCTAGTGGATGTTGTGGGGGAAAGAAAAAGGAAAAAAAATCACAGAAAGCGTGTTGCATCACATAAGCACTTACAATAATTAGACACTTGGAGATTCAATTTTCACTTTCACCATTACCTGTTACTGTTTGCAGCCTTACACAATGTTGCATTTTAATTGCGTACCGGAAAGTGACATGAAATGCTGTAAAACTGGTCTGATAATAATATGAGTTGAGTAATCTCTTAAGCTGCCTGCTTTGGACCAGCAAACTATAACAATGAGCTAAAAGCAGTTTAAAGAATAAGCTGAAAGCTGTGCAGACTGGGCTGTCGGTCGGGTGACATTGGCAAAAGCTGCAAACCCTTTTACATTACAGCGAGTAACGTTGCTCTGTTTTAATACCCCAAATATCGCATAATGTTGTTTACAGTTATGCTCATGAAAGAGTCCAAACCTTTGGGAACTGGTAGGCTAGTGCTTTATGGAAACAAAGACTGTAAAAGTCTGTATCATACATGGAACATGACCACCGCTGATGATTTATATACCACAGAATGTGCAGCATTGAAACATTTAAATTCATGTGTTTTGAATTCTTACAAGGTTAAACTGTACAGAATTTGGTTGCTTTGTTTTCTTTCTCTCTATGGTTCAACAGGTTTAGATTCTCAATAACACTATAGTTAAGCATTTCCAAGTGGATGTATTCAAACTTTATTGATATGGTAAATATAAAATGTAGTACGATAGCTGGGGTCACAGTGTTAACTTTGTAAGTGTGCAGGATTAGAGCAAACGGTGCGTTACGCTGTAGAGTTTGGCTTTCTATTTTAAGAGAGGTTACAGCCGGCGCTGTGTTGCCATCATATTTTGACAACATCACTTTCATTGACACACTTCGGGACCTCCGATAAGAAGGTGCTTTATTTGTCTTTCTTCTATCAACATTTCCGGCATGAAAAGATTTTATTCATGGGATTCTGCTCTCCTGCTGGGCTAAATGGTGACTCGTAATAGGGCAGAAGTGCACCGCGGGGAGTGTCAAGTTTTTGTCAGGAGAAGTTCAGTGGGAACTTGTTCAGCTCAGACACAAAGAATACAAATACAAATGTAATATTTATATATTTATTTAATATTTGATAGAAAGGCCCGCGCTGATGATTCCTGCTGTCAGCTAGATGGGCTCGTCCTGTAGGACCGAACCAAAGCTGTGACAGTGAAGACGTGACTGGGCTGTTGTGAGCAGCAGAACGGATCTCTGGTTGTTTCCTTGATAACCAGTGCCAAACAAAACACTGGATTTCAACCTCTCGAAAGCGTAATTGCATTGGCGTTTCCACAGAGCAGGTCTGATTTTTTTTAACAGTCAGTAAGATTCCATTTCTACTATGTGCTTGCATTTGTTAGTTTTTTTGGTATGTGCGAGATATATGACAAAAAAATACATTTCTGTGCAGTCATATTTCAAAATTGGCCTCTTTTTCCCCCCCTTTCTGCTAAACTCCTTCAGCACACAGGGGTGTATGCACCAGTTTAATCTAGCAAATCATCTTCCATCATCTGAAATTGCACTCTTGTTGGTTATAATAGTGAGCTGAGTGACATCACAGGTCAGAGGTGGGTGTTTAGATGTCAGTTAATGAAATGCTTCCGTTTGTTCGCACAAAGCGGTTTGAGATCTAATTTAAAAATATCTCCCTCATTCCCCATCTTCTGATCTAACGGCGACGCTGAGGATTCTCCTGAGACTCTTACTTCAGGCTCAGTTTTTGAGCAATCAAATCACAGTGGTGCGCACTTCTTCAAGGTACTTGGCAGCCAGGTTGTTCTAAGCAACTTGGAGAATTTGCCACAGTTTTTTTTTTTTTTTTTTTCCTGTTGATTTAAGGTGTCTCACTTGCTGCTGTCTCTTCGTGTAATCCCAGACTGACTCAATGATGTGGAGATCAGGGCTCTATGGGGGCCATACCATCTGTTGCAGGACTTACTGTTCTTGTGGCTGAAAATAGCTCTTTACGATTTTGGCTGTAAGATTCAGGTCGTTGTTGTGCTGCGGAATGAATTTGGGAGCAATCAAATGCCTCCCTGATGGAAGTGGAAAAAAAAGCCTCCCTGTATACTCTGGTCTTTACATTTGATTGAACTCGGGCAGCACCTGATTTTCATAAGCGATTCATTTGGGGAGTATTTTCTTCAATAATCGATGCATTAATCGAGTTGTTTGGTCTGTAGAATGTGAAAAAATGCTGAAAAATGCAAATCAGTGTTTCCCAAAGCCCAAGAATGATGCCTTCAGGTGTTTTATTTTATCTACAAACAAAATATATTCAGTTTGCTGCCATAGAGGAGTGAATAATCTAACAAATATTTACATTTAGGAACCTGGAACCAGAGAGTTTGAACTTTTTCCTCTTTGAAAATCATCAAAATATCTCATTAATTATCTGCTTAACCATTGAAGATATAGGTGTAAAATAAATGATTATTACCTGATTGGGTAGTATAAGGATGACTGGACCGTAGAGGCCGAACAGATGTTCACATTTATACCTACAGATCCAAGAGACATTTAATCTTTTAGTGGTTAGTGGGTAAGCGAATGGATGCATGAATGGTTGAATTGCATCTGTATCTAAGGTTTCCATCTGCTTACGTCTACCCCCTACTTCAATGTGCTGTAGAACACTCACAAATTGCGGCGAGACTGTAAGAAGACCACTCTGCTGGGAAACTTCCTCACCAGCTTTCAAGGCTTGAATTCCTCAGGGAAGCTCTCGCGCTCGGCCTGCTCTGGCTCCAGTCAAGTCAAGTTTGAAGAACCGGTGTTGAATAACTGAGGGGATTCTTTAATTTTCTCACATGTGGATTCCACCGTGTCCTTTCCTATGTTGTATTGACAAGGATCAGGAAAGACGAGTCAATTGTTAGATTGTGTGTTTCTAATCTCAGTTCGGTGGAAATCTCCTGAGCGGGAAGCTGCTGTGCTGGGCCACTGGGTAGCATGCAGGTAGAGGAATGATGGCCCCTTGTGCCATCTGCCTTGAGTGATTACTCCCTGAGTTGTTTTTCTCCTGAGTTTGCATACCTCTGTTGGTTAGCAGAGGTAAGTTCACTTTGACTGCAGCCGATACAGGAATACAGTAGAGTCTGTCCACAACGCTGTCTAGGGGGGGGAGAGAAGGTATAGACTCTGTTTCAATCAAACGAGACAGCTGGGCTCCTGGTAAAGCTGCATATAGCTCCAAACAAGGTATGGAGAGAGATTTCAAGGGAGCTACTTGTGATCTAACCATCACAAAGGGTCCATGTTTCCCCTCTACCTTCAGATATGGCTGTATACCTTCTGAAGCTTCCCACTATATATGCAGTTCTGTCCTTGTGACTGCAAATGAGTTCCCAGTGCATCTGCTTGCATACCATCAAAGGAAGGTAATATCAGTCAAATAGAGGGTTCACTTTCCAACTGTTTTGAAGCTTGCTCTCAGTCTTCTTTTTTTTTTAGGTGTATCCCTGTACGATTAATCTAGATCTGCTGAGGTAAGATTTTGTTTCTTGTAATTAAAGGCGCCATCTATTCCAATCACTTATATTGTGAGGCTAGGGCTTTGTAGCTGTTGCTCAAGGTGAGGCCGTTGTACAAAAACACATCTATAGTTAAAGCCTCGGGGATCTGGTGAACTGTGCCAAAAAGTCGAAAAGCCATAATGCAAGCCGGTGAGTCATGAGCTTAGCAAAGATCAACATGCTGGGCTGAGCTCAGGTGAAGGTGGTCTAATACAATGTGGTACTTTTACCTTTCAGCTTTTTTATTAAGAACCATCTGTAACTTTACAGTCTCACAGGGGTCCAGATGTGCGAAGTCAGGAAATGAGGCTCCTCCAGCATCTTGATTGGTCGAAATGTTCAGCCTGATGCTGCCACGCTGGGCCGAGTGGGGGGTTGTGATATGTAGGTTAACTGGCACTGATGTTACTGATCAGTTTGGGAAAGGTGGTGGGGAGGGGCAGACCGAGATGAAAGTTGATAGTGCAGGCAGGGGTAGATATACAGGCTGTAGTAGATAAACATGAGGTGGGTTTTGTGCAGTGTGTATTGGAAATCCATGAGCAGACTGTAGAAAGGCTAATGGTGCTTGAAGAAGAGGTTGATGGCAACGCTGTCTGTGAGCTGTTGACTCTTGGCTAGTATGCACATGGGTCAAGGGCGTTTGGCTTTGATGTGCGTAGGTTAAAGGCGGTTTACTGGAATACGGAAGGGCTTGGCGACGGTACTTGGAGGCTACAGGCAGTTGACTAAGATGCACTGAGGTCGCTGACCTAGAGGCTGCTTGGACTAAATGTGCTTGGATGAAAAGCGTGGGCGTTGAAAAAACTTGGTTGAAATATGCATTGGGACGCTTAGCTGCAAGTTTCTTGGGCTGTGGGTGCTTGGCAGGGCGGTGCATGAATTCAGACGGCTTGATGGGATTGGACTGTGATGGAGGTTCATTGGCTGGTAGTTGTGAGAACTGAGGGCATTTGAATTGCAGGGACAGAGGACAGATTCTCATTGCCACTAGCTGCAGTTGGGCTAAAATTGTTGTTGTGTTGTGGTGATTAATTCTGTAGTTTCATGTTGTGATCAGCTCTCCTGGTAGGGGAGTGTGACGAAGAAATCCTACTATATGTTCAAACTCTGAAATTATAGGCTGCTTCATCATACGGAGCATATTTCTCTTGGTAAAAGCCGTGTGCTGTTCACTAGGAACCTGCTCATCAGAACTTTACTCTTCATCAAACTCAACAACCTCAGAGCTACTCTGTTTGTACCCCATTGTTAAAGTCTATTTTTAAGGTCTTCAGCCCAAGCTTTCAACTGTGTCATTACTCACCTTAATAGAGCAGTTGA